TTTTTTCATGTATTTATTCGCTTGTTTAATTTCTTCCTCTGAGAAGCGTGTGTTCATCTCGGATGCCCATTTCTGGATTGGGTCTTTAAATTTTGGGGCTGGTCACATATTTTCAACTTTTCACATCTTTGATAAATTATCAGTATTGAACCACAGTTCTGGTCTGGACATCTGTGGCCCTCACTGAAACAGGCCATTGTCAAGTGTGCGGTCTCCTTGCCTGTTAAGCCTAGCATTGTGATATATTTTCACCAATGGAACTTCAGAAAATATGATTTAATCAAAAACTTAATAATCATTTCCATGTTTAATCCTCTGTTGCTCACCATGGAAGCCAGAGATCAGGTGGTCATAAAACTTAGGTAAGCATATTAAATGTAAAAGTTGAAGGATATCTTGGGCATACAAGGTCCAGCTAAACTTCTAAATGCTTGCTGACTGTAGGCCACCTCATGTGGAAGAGACATACATATTCTCCAACAAATCTCACACAAATTTCAGAATTTCAAGCAAATGAAATGTTATAGAATAGAATGATTATTGCCAGGGGCTTGAAAGAAGTTGATCAAAGGTTATAAATTTTAGTTAGAAGGGAGGGATAAGTTTAAGATATCTATTATACAATATGGTAACTATAGTTCATAAAATGTGTTTTTCATTGAAAATTGCTGAGTACATTTTGTGTTCCTACTACAAAAATAATATAATGCAAGTTATTTAGCTTAATTTACCATTCCACATTTTAACCATTTTAAAACTATGCTTTTTGATAAATATATGTAATTTTTGTTAATTTAAAGAAATATTTCAGTCTGCTAACTTTGATATGTTTTTGCTTTTGATAACTTAAATGGTACCTAAGTCTTTACTGTAACTACTTTTACAGTCATGTAACAGTTTTTCATTAAATAATCATTCCATGAAATCTTTCCTTGTTTATAAGATTATTGAGTTTGAGTTTTATTTTGTCACCAAAAAATTATTGGTTAAAGCACCCTTTACCATGATGTTAATTCATACAGTTTCAAATTGTCATTCCAGTAACATTTTATTTATTCATAGCATTTTTTGTAGATATTAGTAGTAGATCAGTGGTCAGTCAACTTTGATAAATATTTCTTTAGGAGGATATTTAGCACCTGCCTTTGTGAGGTTATGTACTAAAAATCATAAATGTGTTTACTATTTTAACTTCTCAAATGTGTTGTGCTTAAAGCGTATCCAGGATTATTAGACTTTCTGAAACATAATTTGTTGTGGAAGAGCAGTATCAAGTGAATTTCTGATAATATGAATGGCTTTGTGAAGTCTAAATTCACTAGGCAAAGTGTGGTCTTATAGCAGTGTCCAGTATCAGCTGGGAGTTCTCTAATAAAGAATTTCTGATTCTGTAGTTATGAGACAGAGTCTGAAGATGTCAGTTTCTACCATGTTTAAAAGACAAGCTAAGGTGGCCATTTGAGAAACAACTTTGAAAAACCACTGGCTTACCTCACACTGTGCTGGAAGAACATGTTTAGACTCAGTTCTAATGAGTCAGAATCTGTACTATAATGAGATTCACATGGAGATTTCCATCTATAATAAAGTTTGAGAAGGAAGACGTTGTAAAAAGGGATACAGCAAACACTGACACAAAGGTTAAAGTTAGCTCACCACCTGGATTTGTAAATTAAGTTTTATTGGTACACAAGCAAGCCATTAATTGCCAAGATTACTATTACACAACAGCAGTGATAAATAAAGACCTGTGACAGAAACCATTATGGGTCACAAACCCTAAAATACTTATTTTGCCCTTTTAGAGACTGTTGGCTGATTGCTGATATAGAACAAAACTCTCCTGTTTCTCGAAAGGTAATTTTGAGAAAAATAACATTTGTAAATCAAGTATTAGCTATGACCTTGGACTCACACACTCTCTGAGCCTTTATTTTTCTCATTTGTAGAATATTGAAAGTAATTCAACCTCAGACATAAGCGTGCATGTACATGTGTCTATATAAAATCAGATATATTACCACATATGTAATTAGAAACTTAAATTCCAGTACTATTTTACTATCCAGGGCTTCCAACATGAAGTTGAAAGAATCCAAAGCATCCAATTTGAAAACATAAGGCTCTTCTTCCTACAGCTTACTAGTACGGAACTATTTGTGGAAGAAGTCTGCAATAAGAAGTACAGTGTTATTATTAGGTCAGTGAATCTATACATACTTGATTTAGCTGTCCTGAAAAATAAACATGACTATATTTAAAAGGTATTACTCTATTAATTTGCTGCTTTGAGAGGCTAGTTGTCCAATTTCACACCTGTAAATTGTTACTATGATCAAATCACTCCAGGAAAAGCAAAATTAATGACTATAATGTTAAACCTAGTAATTCAATGAAAATATGTGGGGCTTTCAGGATCAAGTGCATTGGAGTCAAGAAGCAAAACCTAATAAAAAAGAATTTACTGCTTGGAACACAAGTGAGCAGCAGGCCAGAGATTCAGAACATAGCAGCATCACTCAAATGTGCACTGACTATGACAAATATAGTGAGAAGCAACATAAAGGTAACTTTAGTGAAACAATGTAGTTCTGACCTATTTCTTATAGGAAAAAATCTAATGAACTTATCTTTGATAAATGGCCAAAGAGGAGTAAAGTGCTCTGTGTGTAATCAAAACAATTGAATGTATGACTTATTGTTGCTTTATAAGTTAGAGAAAGAAACAGAAAGTTATTAAATATGCAATAATTACAGACAAAGATGATAACTACTAGGAAAGCACTGTAAGTCAGTAAACTATGTGCAAAATTTGATCAGAAAACATGTCAAGTTAAATTTAAGTAAAGTTTGTAAGAAATTTTCAGGGTCAAATACATCTGGAAGAGAATAGATAATAAGTTGTCTGATATGAGGGGCTCTCAAATGTGAAGGTACAACACAGTTACCTAGATGACTTGTTAAATGGAGGATTGATAGGCTTAACTCAAGAATTTCTGATTCCCTTGGTGTGAGGTGTAGTATGAAGAATTCAGTTTTTAACATGTTTGAAAGACAAGCGAAGGTTGCTCTTTGAGAACCAACTTTGCAAAACCACTGGCTTACCTCACACTGTTATGGAAGAACTGAGGGAGACGAATGTTCCATTTCACATTCTAGATTATTTAAATTCTCAGAGGAAGATCTGTATAGCTACAATCATTTAAAAATCTAGTAAGGAGTTATAAATATCTTTTGGTCCCATTGTGCCTCAAAGTAATTCTTTAAAATAGCATTTAATTGTGAACTTAGTATTTCAAATAACTGATGTGATCTAACTGTGTAAATATTTTGTTATTAAGATTCTCATTTGATGAGAAGAGTCAGGCCTATTATTATGTTGTCCAAAATTAAGTTCATGGTGGTTTTGTGTTGCTAACTAAGATTTTGAAATGAAAGTTACCGCACTGAAATGTGTCTTCACTGAATGAGAACAAATTCTGTAATAAAATCCAGTAAGTTGGGGCCGGGGAGATGACTCCGTGTAATAAGCACTTCTCTGGAAAGCACAAGGGCCTGAGTTCAATTCCCAGTTCCACCAGAAAAAAACAATCCAGTAAGTTAGTGACGTGTCAAAAAGTTTCTTATTGACTAGTAGATGACTTTAAAGTGACAGGATGTTTATCTCAGGACTTACATAGCTTGTTTCCTTTAGGCATTGAGGTCCAGTCACCTATACATATTTGATCAATTTCCTAGCCTTGTGACTTCCAACATAAACACCTTTTTTGTTTGTTTTTGTCAGAGATGTGTATTTCATTGCAGTTAGAGAAGCTGTATTTGGAGAAGACTTTACAGGACGTTTCCATACTTGAAGCCAGTCCAAAGATTGTAGGTACTTGAATTCAGCAAAATAACACAGTACAGTCGAATAGTCCATGACAGTAGTGGGTTAACAGAAACTGGCAATTGTCAGAAGTATTTGAATTAAGCCTTTTACAGCTCAGCATATTAATATAGCTTAATTTTCATACATCATGGTTACATTTTTCTGCTGAATGGCTAAGACCAACTTAAAGCAAGACCTATATAACTAAATTTTGCTGACAAGGTCATTCAAATCACCTCAGGATTTATCCTGGAACCCTGTACAGCATCTTGTGGATATTTTGCCAGGGTCAGCCATCTGGATGAGTCACAGCCATTGCTTTATCAATTTGCTCTCTGTGAAAGCCTGAGAGAAATTTTTCTCTATAGTTGGCTCTGCTTAGTCACAATATGCATTGTTGATCACTTTCCTCTCTGGCTATATAATCTCCTTTGCAAAACTATAAATAACACACCATTTTTGTTGTGAATCTATCTATCTATCTATCTATCTATCTATCTATCTATCTATATGAGAGTTAGGATATATATACAGATTCTTTTTCTTAGTTCATTGAGAAGAAAGATTTGTACTAATATTATTTAGATATAATATGTCTGCATCTTGTCCTCTGAATAACTAGTATAAACACAACAATATGCAGTGTATTATTTATGGAAACTTTCCTACTAATCTATTTCAAAACTGCTTTATCTTTCTTTCTCATTAAAATGAATAAAATAAATAAATAAATAAAATAAAACCCAATAAGATAATGGCATCCAAGAAATCAAAATAAAACAATATTTTTTTTGGTAGAACCAGGGATTGAACTCAGGCCCTTGCACTTGCCAGAGAAGTGCTTATTCTACTGAGCCATCTCCCAGGTCCTATAAAACAATAATTTTAAAAACATTAAGGCTATATGTGCTCTTACTCTAAAGAGTATTTTAAGATTTGTTGGTGGAATTATAAATCATTACAAAAGTTCTACCATATATTAGATAATAAATTAGGAGAAAAATGTTGATAATATTGAACATATTTTTAAAAGTGAACTATGTACATGACACTATGAAAAGTTAGAGAAGAGAGCTTGAAGGTAGGCATGGCAACAGGTAGTATCCATAGAAAGGAAAGAATATGCAGTCATGTAATGGAGTAATGTAGATTGTGTGTACAACAAGGAATTATGCTATAAAAGAAACAAATTATTATCATTAACACTAGCTATGTAAGTCACACTCATATATTCAGTTCTCTACAGGGGAAAAAGTTGATAGAAGACAAGGAAGTAGGAGTGTTGCAGGCCTGTCCTGCTACAATGCTGTATATGGTTAGATTTCTGGAGTTATGTGTAAATATATATAATTCTTTATTCCTACTTTTAAACATATTTTAATTTTTTAAACTTTTTCATCATATTCTGTAGGGACTTAAAGTTTAACATATCAACACTTGATGAAAAATACCTGTTCCATGTTATGCCTAAGATGCTTGATATTCAGACAGATAGTGAGCTTAAGCTCAACAGCCTAAGTTGTATGGTAACAACAATAAGCTTCTCTTCTGGAGGGTAAACAACCTAAGTTTGCAGACCAAAATTAGAGAAAAAGGAGGCCCACAAGGAAATCCAACAGTTTGGCCCTAGCCTTCCAAGGTCAATTAAGACTGAGGACATATGAAAACTTGTACTCTAATGTCATGTAACTCAGTAGTGTTCCTAAGGAGAGTCACATGGAGAGAAAACATTCTCTCAGGTTTTCACAGAGAGCACATTAGGCAAGCAATGGCCGTGACTTATTCACATGGCTGACACTGACAAAGGATCTACAATCTGAGGTACAGCATCTCAGGATAATTCCTGAGGGGACTTGACTGATGTTATCAGATACAAAAGTTACATTTCTTGTTATATCAGTCTTGCTGTGTCTTGTTCTTAACCATCCAGCAGAAAAGTATAAAAACGATGTATAAGAAGTAAAGCCATGTTGTCATGATGAGCTGTAAGGGACTCAGGTCAACAACTTCTGACATTGCCAGTCAAGTGGAATACCCAATACTACTATGAATTAGTGGACTATTTTAGAATATTTTGCCGAGTTCACACACATATAATATTTAAATGATGGAACTAAACAAAAAGAGGGGATATAGATGAATGACCATTTTGTATCTGTGTATTCAAAATGGTTAGGATAGATATATAGCTACATTCTCTTAATTCAATGAATAGAAGGATTTGTTCTTATAGTGTTTGTAAATAGGATATCATGTCTGCATCTTGTACAACAAATAACCAGTAGGAAGATAGTATGCAATGTGTTAATTATTGGAGCTGTCCTATCAATTTGATTTGAAACTGTCTTATTGCTATTTCTTTCTCAAAAATATTATGGGAAAAAAGAAATTTAGGAAAAAGAGTCAATTTTTGAGCTGCAAGTAATGGAAGTCTTACACCAAATGTAAATGAAGGAAGACAATAGACAACTTATTATCTCACTCAACGTTAAGTCAGTAGGTAGAAAACTAAAAATTGAATGTCATACCTCCAGATCAGTGTCTGAGATTTTCATGATTTGTTTTCCATTCACTAATACGATACTAATACTGAAATGTAGTGCATGTTAAAATAGTCTTCTATTAATTGATCCTTCTGAAAGACCTGTATTTTGACCCTGTCTCTAATTCTTGGTGCTTGATCCCAGTGAAGTTATCTAATCCCAGTGCAACTTAGATTACTCTTTTAAAAATATTATTCTTTTTTGACCTTATAGAAAATATGCATGTTGGATACTTAAAACAATGACTAAGATGAAAATCTAAAAATTAGCAGTGATAATGATAATGTTACCCATTGTTGCTGGTGCTGCTGCTGCTTTTGCTGCCAGGTGTTGCTGGTGTTAAGTGATGGTGGCACTGAAATTCCTTTGCCCCTCATGGAACTTAAACAAAAAGTTACTTTAGTGCAGGGGTCACAATTGAGGTAAAGGCAAATGGGACACACATGTGTGTCTAACGTGTAGAATTTCATAATTTTTCTAGGGCTTTATCAATATCCCACCACACTGATCCTTAAGTATACACACATATCCAATCACTTAGTCAATGAACATATTAGGCACTGCATATCTGCGATTTAACAGTAATAGCTTCATGTCTTCTATCTACACTTCAAATTAGGCACTAAATTCTGAGGCAATCAGTTGACAAGGATAGTATATGAATTTTTGTTTCCTGTAGAGAACTTATTCATGTCTTCTTCTTTCCTTGTGATTTCTTTTTATTACACGGTCTATTTCTCTGTGGGATAGTTGGCTTTTAGTTCTTTATCACCAGTGATCTGGGTGATGAACTGTTCACCTATATCTAGCAATGAGTTTTTCTCAAGTCCATTTTCTAGAAACTGTAGTTGTATTACTGACTGGATATTTAGACTGTATGTGATGAGTAAGAGAACATTTTCACAACAAAAAATGGTAATAATAACATATCAATAATCATATTAAATTAATAACATTTATATTATAAAAATAAAAATGCATAAGGAAAGTTGATTATAGATTAGAAACCAGATATTTTGGGGGATTAGGATTTTGTTGCAAACTGAGAATATCAGGATAAAATGGCACATTTTATTCAACATTTTAAAAATGATGAAAATTAAGATTTCAGATCTTTCAAATAGTTAATTGGATTTTGACTGGGGAAACTGAATA